TAATCAGAGCCTAGGGACTGTAGGAGAACAGACGGTGACTCCGAAACACCCTTTCCAGCAACCTGAGAGGCAGGAAAGGGGAGTCCATCCTGGATCTGGGACAGGGGATGGAAGCAGACCGGACAAACAAGGGCAATGGACTCCAGGGCAGAAGTCGTCAAACAGTTTCGATCGCGTGCCCTTTACCTGCCAGTGTTTAGATGCTCCCCACGACCCAACGTATTATTTGTAAGTTACCTCCATGGGTTCCACGTTAAGTGTATTATACAATCTTCTCAGAGTATGGACATTCAGAAGGATGAGATCTATTGAAACAGAAGTTGCGACATCTTATTCTTCACCTTAATCGGTCTTCCTGTGCAGCCCACTCTGGAGACCACTGGTAGAGAGCAGGTGAACTTGTGGAGAGAGGGGCATATGGAACTGTCACTCCCGGCATAGAACCTCAAAAGGCAAAAAACACCCTCAACAAGGCTCCCTTAGGTTTCCTCCAAAAGAGACTCTTGTTGGGAATTCCCTGGAGGTCCAGTGGTTAGGACTCCACACTTTCATTGCCAAGGGCGCAGGTTCAATCCCTGGTCAGGGAACTAAGACCCCACCAGCCTTGCAGTGCAGCCAAAAAAAGAGAGAGAGAACCCTGCCACCATGTCAGTAACCAGGCAGGAACGGTGCCAGGTAAGAACTCAATCTCCCACCACTCTCTCTCTCACTTTCAGCCCTCTACCCAGGCTTTGGATTGCACTTTGCCCTGAAAAAGTTGCCATAGTTACACCTGATGCCACTGCCAGAAGTTTTTCCACCATTAGGAAGCTGGGACCCTATAATCTGGTAGTGACCACATCTGACATGGAAGTGACTGTTTGTTTTTGTTTTTTTTAAATTTGTATTGAAATATAGTTGATTCACAATGTTGTGTTAGTTTCAGGTGTACAGCAAAGTGATTCAGTTTTTTATATATATATATATATATATATATATATATATATATCTCTTTTCTTTTTTAGATTCTTTTCCATTATAGGTATATTGGAAGATACAACATATTACAAGATATTGAGTATAATTCCCTGTGCTATACAGTAGGTCCTTGTCGGTTATCTATTTTTTTAAACATCTTTATTGGAGTATAAGTGCTTTACAATGGTGTGTTAGTTTCTGCTGTATAACAAAGTGAATCAGCCATACATATACATATATCCCCATATCCCCTCCCTCTTGAGTCTCCCTCCCACCGTCCCTTTCCCATGTTATCTATTTTATACATAGTAGTGTGTACATTTTAATCCCAAACAGCATGGAAGAGTTTGGATGATAACATTACGACTGTTTTCAATTTGAGGAAAGAGAAGCACTTTGCTTAGACTGTATATTCTAAGGAGAGGGACCAAACCTTATAGAATTCTCTTCATACAGAGTCATGGGTGCATTTAAGCACTGGGTCCATAGTAGGTTTCGTTTGGTTGGTTGATTGATTTTCTAAAAATGAGACTAGCAAAAAAATTACTTCCTCCAAAACCAGGTGTAGTATTAACAAATATCATAGCATATTTTTTTCTGCAGGCTTTACAAATATCTCATCATCTTTATTAGAGGACATCACATTTGCTGGGGAATTTTTATATATGCTTCATCTTATTACTGCAGCGAGAAACACAAATAAACTTATAGTTGGTCTATAAGAACATCACCAAAGCAAACCACAAGGGCAAAAGCCATTTGTCCTGCTTGCTACAATTCCTACCTATGACTGCATTTTGCAGCCAGGACCCCTCAGCATCCAAATGTACGGGGCCTTCGCAGAACTGCGAAAAACACATTTGTAGCCTTGGTTTGACAAGATTTCAATTGGGAGAACTAGCTGGTTTCTGCCTCTAAATGCTGGCACTGGCTTTCCAATGTAATACCTGGTGACTCTTCTCTATCAGGAACTTGGTAGTTCTGGTTACCTTAGAGATGCCTTATCTCCCAGTGCACCTTCAGGGAATGGCAGCCAGCCCGCTGCTTCTATCTGTTTAGCCAAGCCCAGGGGACAGAATCGTGGTTCTCACTGACAAGAGGCAGTTAGTTTACTGGACTTAAAATAAACTACAAAAGCCAGCCTTTGTAAGGTTTGGGGAACACAGTTTTACATCTCAAAAACCTTAAGAAAAATTAATTCTATAGATTGGTAGTAATTAAGGAAAAATCATAGTTTTTTTTTTTTTTTTTTTATAAATAAGTTAGGTGAATTTTGCAGTTTCCTTAGTTCCTTTTTACTTGGCTTTGTCGAGGTATAGCCAGGACACCTGTCTTGGCTGGCATCAGAGAGCTTTCGGGAACACCACTTCAAGGGAGCAGCTGACTTTGTGCCTCATGTGCGGTGGGAGACGCGTGAGAAAAGAGAAAAGCAGAAGTCCCAAAGACTTTCTGAAAGACATGAGAATGCTACAACAGATCTTTTGACTTTATAAAATACTGAGTGTTTTAAAGAACACCATCTTTTATTAGAGCCAGTCCCATCACTCTTAGTCATCAAGATAAATGTTATTCCATCTAGCCAGAGTTTTTTCACTTTCATTTAGAGTCAATTCCATTATTTCACTTGATGTGAACTTTCTATTATTTCTCCCGATTATGTAAGTGAGCTGATTATGCAACTAAGAGGTTGGTAAATATGGGGTTTATTATAAGATCAACATTTTTCTACAGCTCAGGTTGTTTGTGAAGTAACAAAGAGAATAGAAAAAAAATATTTTTTTCCAGTCTGCCCTGGATTCAGTTTTATCATTCCCAGGTTTGATTTATAAATGGCTGAATCTTAATCCCTTTTACAGATTAGCCTGGATCCTTAGTCCAGATGTGAAAGGAAATTAGGTTTTGCTTTAAAACAACAAGGCTGGGCTTCCCTGGTGGCGCAGTGGTTGAGAGTCCGCCTGCCGATGCAGGGGACATGGGTTCGTGCCCCGGTCCGGGAAGATCCCACATGCCGCAGAGCGGCTAGGCCTGTGAGCCATGGCCGCTGAGCCTGTGCATCCGGAGCCTGTGCTCCGCAACGGGAGAGGCCACAACAGTGAGAGGCCCGCGTACCGCAAAAACAAAAACAGAAACAAGGCTATAGACAGTGGCAAAACAAAACACTAGTTAAGTAACTACGGCAAAATCTCATTTATTTAAAATCCATTAATAAGGAATTTGTGATAGTTCAGAAAGGCTCAAGACCCAAGTGTACCTTTGGCCTAGTTGTGTAAGAGTTTGCTAAAGCAGTTATTAATGGAAAACACTTTTTTCAAAGAGAAAGCGGAAACTTCTAAAGGGACTGTTTCTAGTACCTTTAAGTAATTTTAGACATTTACAATACTGAATGGTTTCTTAGTCATAAATAATTCTTATCCATAACTTAAGTCCTCTGAGCCACCACTAAGTAAATCTTCCTTGACGTACCTACAGGATTTGTTATAGTGATGAAGGTAGCCTTTCACTTATAAAATGAAAATGAAAGGCTTTCCTCAAATCAGACTATCCTTCCCTACTAGTTTCTTCTGAGCAAATCAGGTTGTTGGATGTTCTGCTTTAAGTACACAAGATCCAGAAGCAGCTTGCTGGGTTCAAATCCCCCTTCTGCCAATTGGGCATATTATTCACCGTTGTGGTGCTTCCACTTCCTTACCTGCAAAATGGGAAAAATAATAATACCTAAAAAAATTTAAAACTGTAAAGCACTTAGAACAGTGCCTTGTTCCTTAAAGGTTAGCCCTTGTTGCCATGACACTATACAGCAGGTCAGTGATGCAAGTCAGACTCAGTCACATCCCCAAGGCATCACTAAGAGAAACTTCCGTGAAATGATAAACATTTTACAGGAGGCAGGTTTTTTAGCCCCTCTTTTCACAAGGCTTACGGGCATATTTTCACAGCGCAGTGCATCAAAACTGTTTTCCATTCTTCAGTCTTCCTTTCTTCTGGGCTCCAGCCACCCAACTTAGCCTGCCAGGTACTTCTGCTAAATTATGCATAAGCTTTTTCCAAGCCACCCCTCCGAGTCTCTACGAATTCGTCTCCGTTCTCTTTTCAGTTAGGGCTAGAGCGCACCTCCTACCTTTAGTCCTCCGTCATCAACGGCCCCCACTTATGATCAGCCTTTGACTCAGGCGCAGCTCTGCTTGGGAACCCCTTCTTAATAAATTCCTCAGATCGTTACAGGCTTTCTGAATCGCCTGGTCTTCACCTGAAAATTTTCATTAAAACGTGGAGTTTGAGCAGCCCGCTCTGAGTTGTAGGACTTTGGGCTCCAAACAAAATTCCTAGTTAAAGACACAAGAACAGGAGCACGGGTGAGCTGCGGCCCCCGAGGCCTGGTGAGCGCGACCACAGGCCGGTTTAGAGGACCGTTCGTTTGGACCGGACAAGGACGAAAGGAGGTTAGTGACGCACCTGAATAAGTCCGCTAGACGAAAGGAGACAAACTAATGCTTGATATGGTGCTGAGAGTGAGGACCGCGCGCGCGGGCGCGCGCACACACACACGGAGAGAGAGGAGCAGTCCCAGGTATCTGACAATGACACGCCCCGATCCAGACATGGCCTCAAAGGCCCCCGATTTCCGGAGCGCCCCCGCCCCCTCCGGAGATTACTGTCAGCGCATCCCTCCGCCCTGCCCCGGCTCAGGCGCGCCGGCTGCGCTCCTCTCCCCTCCTCCCGCGGCCGCAGCTCCCCGCCCCCAGCGGACGCGTCTCTCCAGTGTCCTCTCGAACGCCCGCGTGGCTGTCGGGTTTCGAATCCCCGCGCCGACCCTCGCCCTCGGCGCGGGCTGCTGAGTCGCGGGCGCAGCCTTTGGTCCCCCGCATCAATCATTAACGGGCCAGCTCGGGCTTCTGCGACCCGAGGGAGGGGGGATGGTACGGAACTCGAGCCCAGGGACAACTCTATCCCCCGAGGCCGCCGCGAAACACTAGCCAGAGAGGCCCCCGCCCTCCCCCAGTGCGCCCGTCCCTCCCTCCCTCCAGCGCCTCAGCTCCCACATCCCCGCCTCCCGCGCCGGGGGCGGCTGCTGCTGCGCCCGCACCGCGCGATGCCCAGTCACCGCAGCAGCGCCGCCGTCAGCCGCGCCGCCACCGCCGCTGCAGCAGCGCGGGCGGCCGAGAGCCGGTAGCAGGGAGCCTGGGGAAGGGGCCGCCGAGCCCCGTGCGCTCCTACCGGTCGCTACGCGGCTGCGAAATCGATGACTATTTTTATTTACTTATTTGTTTATTTTTTAGGAACGGCTGCTCCGAGGCTCAGGTCTTCTCGTGAACCTGCAGCGACGCCCCCGGCGCGTGCACAAAGGCTCCGACGGCAGCCGGCGGGGACTGGCGAGCGCGCCGGAGCCGGCGCCAGAGGTCGCCTGTGCGCGCCCTAGCCAAGCCCCGGGCACCATGCCGCGGCGCCTGCAGCCCCGGAGCGCGGGCACAAAGGGCCCGCCCGGCACGACCGCGGCGGCTTCGGAGGCCGCCTCGCGCCCCCACCCCTCACCCTCCGGGGACCCTCCGGCCTCCGCCAAGCCGCTGCTGCGCTGGGACGAGGTGCCCGACGACTTTGTGGAGTGCTTCATCCTGTCGGGCTACCGGCGGCTGCCGTGCACGGCGCAGGAGTGCCTAGCCTCGGTGCTGAAGCCTACCAACGAGACGCTGAACTTCTGGACGCACTTCATCCCACTGCTGCTGTTCCTGAGCAAGTTCTGCCGCCTGTTCTTCCTGAGCGGCCGCGACGTGCCCTTCCACCATCCGTGGCTACTGCCGCTGTGGTGCTACGCTTCGGGCGTGCTGCTGACCTTCGCCATGAGCTGCACGGCGCACGTGTTCAGCTGCCTGTCGCTGCGCCTGCGCGCAGCCTTCTTCTACCTGGACTACGCGTCCATCAGCTACTACGGCTTTGGCAGCACTGTGGCCTACTACTACTACCTGCTGCCCGGCCTGAGCTTGTTGGACGCCAGGGTGATGACCCCGTACGTGCAGCAGCGCCTGGGCTGGCACGTGGACTGCACGGGCCTCATTGCCGCCTACCGCGCGCTCGTGCTGCCCGTGGCCTTCCTGCTGGCCGTGGCCTGCACCGTGGCCTGCTGCAAGAGCCGCACCGACTGGTGCTCTTATCCGTTCGCGCTGCGCACCTTCGTCTTCGTCATGCCCCTGAGCATGGCCTGCCCCATCATGCTCGAGAGCTGGCTCTTCGACCTGCGGGGCGAGAACCCCACTCTCTTCGTGCACTTCTACCGCCGCTACTTCTGGCTGGTGGTGGCCGCCTTCTTCAACGTGAGCAAGATCCCCGAGCGCATCCAGCCGGGCCTCTTCGACATCATCGGCCACAGCCACCAGCTCTTCCACATCTTCACTTTCCTTAGCATCTACGACCAGGTGTACTACGTGGAGGAGGGCCTGCGCCAGTTCCTTAAGGCGCCGCCGGACGCGCCCACCTTCTCGGGCACCGTGGGCTACATGTTGTTGCTGGTTGTCTGCCTGGGGCTGGTCATCAAGAAGTTCCTCAACAACACCGAATTCTGCGGTAAAAAGTGAGCCTCCGCCTTGGAGGAGGCTGCCGGCTCGCTCACCTGTTTGTTTGAAGTTTCTGTTGTTGGTTTGTTTTCAAGTTTTGTTGTGTTTCCTTCTTTGCTCGAGGAGGGTGCTGCAAAACCATAGGGAAAAAGTTCAGTGCGACAAGGGCTTTGGGAGAGTGCACTCAGTGCACTTAGGGCTTTGGGAGAGGGAGGTGGGGCAAGCAGGAGGGAGAGGGCGGCTGGTTCTTGTCCCTGGAAAAAATGTAGGTGGTGTCTGTGACATCCAGGGATTCTTCTAAGGCAGCGCGAATAGAACCCCACATAAAACCCCAACCAGTTCGATCTTCCAGTCGTCTTCTCTGCCAGAGGTAATAACGAGCAGCCCTTGTGAGGTCAGGCATGCAGTAAAGAGGGTAAGTAGACAGAACCCCTGGGTACTTCCGTTTCGGTGTGAGGAATGCTTGGATTTGTCAAAGAATAGAGCTTTGTAGGAAAAGAGCACAGAGACACTAACCCAGGGCTTAACCTGCTAGAAAATGCATGGAATGTGAACACACGTTAATTATTTCAAAATGTTTCTTAGATGTTAGTTAAATAGTAATATATACAATGATTTTTCATAATTTATCAAAGCCTGTGATCTGCACTGAATTTTCTTTGTCACGTAGTTTGGAATCTTGCAGCTCTTCTGCATTGCATATACTTGAACTGGACATCAGGGCAAGCTGCTTGAGAGTTCTCAGCTACTTTTTTAAACAGTATTTTTTGAAGGCCTGTGTGTGTCATGATACAACTGTGAATTATTCTACCTTAGGGACTCTGGTTAAACTATTGGGAAGGAGCTAAGTGGTTTGTATAGGTCCCAGATTTCTATTTACTTATGTGTTCCACAAAACCCATCCTGTTTTTCGGTTTTGTTTTTAATCTTATTCTCTCTTTCTCTACTGATTCAAATTGCCACTGGAATAAATGTGCCTTTTGAAGCAATGCCCAAATGACTGGTCCTCACACATAGTTTCTTGCATGGGGAGAGCAGTAGGTGTAAGCTTTTCTTACTTTATTGCAAATCAAGGTTTAACATTCTATTCAGGAGGGAAGGAAGATGGTATGGGTTGTAAGTTTTTGGTAGGACCAGTAGTGGCTTCCTAGGACATGCAGAGCATTTGGCTTCTCTTACAAGGAGAAGAAATCAGCCCACTAATGAGGCTGTGGTTCCTAATGCTGCCATCGGGGAAGGTGAAAGGACACTGTTCTAGACTGAGCCCGTCTAGCCTTGCTTAAAATTAAAATCGTAATATTCAGGAGTAAATATGGCAGTTGTAATATGAAAGTCAGGAGTATGTTACTTGAGTTATAGCTGAAAATTTTGAGTTAAATAAGATGACCTTTGCCTAGTTAAGCACTGAATTCTCATTTGGATCCAGACTATGGAAATGAATGGCGGTCACCCTAAATCGTTGAAAAATTAGGGAAACACGCTCCTGAGATCCTATCTGACAACCACATTGGCCAGTGTTACTTAAGACATTTCTCATAAACGTTATCCTGGACTTGAGATAGCAGCTCTAGACTAACACAAACCAGTGAGGTGGCTTATTTAAATACTTATCACACTTCTTGACAAGTCCTTTGGGTGAAGAGCCAGATAAGTCATTGAATGGGGAAGTCTTGACTTCATGGTATAATTTAGATCAAGGACAGAAGGTAGATGAACACTTACCTCAGCACTGGTAGGCTGGTGGTCCTGCCAAGATTGCTCTTTTTGTTTATGCTTTTAATCACTACTGTACTTGTAAACAGAGAGGCTCTGGCACAATTCCCTGGAGGAACCAGTATCCTTGTGTGTTAATTGCACACGGAAGTTAACTTTATATATGTCTATATTTAACTTAGGAGACCTCTTAACGAGATTGTAAATACACTTTGCACATTTGCTGATGGGTGTCAGTGTCTCATGTTTGGCAAAGTGCAAGGAGATTCCTGTTAGGTTACAGGGACTGAGAGCTGTGCCTGCCACGGATGTCAATCCTCAGCTGTAACTTAATTCAGTACATGTATTCAAGGACAGTTGTGGAAATCAGGCTATTTCCACATGCAAACTCATTTGCATGTCATTGTTGTCTCTTCTAGAGCCCCCAAAAATGTTGGTTTGGAAGCTAGAGAAACAGGTTGAGGAGCATTTTGGATCTTCCTTGTAATATAGAAGAAACTCTCTAGAGACAGCCTTCCAAAAAAGGTTGATGAGTTTGAGAACAAGAAATAAAGCCTCTATTTGTCATTTTACATTTTTGTTGGCGATCTTCCAGGTCCTCAAAGAAAATTCTCTTCTTGCCTTGTGTCTTTGTCCTTAAGCAGAGGCCACTTAAGGATAAAATTATACCCATATAATTTTCAAGTGATTATGAGGCATGAGCCCAGTAAGATGACACACTTTTCCCTTGGAAGGTTTCAGCAAAGTGAGGACTGACTTTCCTTCCCTTTGCTTCTTCCTTCCTGCACGTTCCCTTTCCCTTTCCATCTTCATTTTTATATACCACATACAGCACTGACAAAGGACATTCTAGTTGAAAACATTGGTTTGGCTTTACCTCATGTTTCCAAATAGGTACCGTATACACTACATAAGACCGGGGTTGATTTGTGAGGCTATATATGTTATTTGCTAAATGATATCGGATTTCGGTCAAGATAAATGATGATGTTTGAGAATCAGCAAATATTTACTCAGTCTCCACGTTTGCATGGAACTCTCCAGGTATATTATATATTTCAGGGGTAATATGACAATCAGAATAAAATCGCTTTTAAAATATTTTTTCACACTCTTCATTTTGCCACATCCAATTCAGTCAGTTTATTGTGTTCAGCTGTTAGAAATGTAGGACAGATGATAAGAATGCACTCCCTTATCTCTGTACAACCTATTTCAGCAGTAGAATTTTGAAGCCTGTTATGTAATGCATTTTATTTTTACTCATTAGTCATGATCTGGATGACATCTCAAGGAGCAGCATCAGAGAGTCATGCCTGGGAAATGAGGGTGTTTGACTTCCATGCCTGTCACCCTGTGGGTTGGTCTCTGGAATTGACTCAGGCTGATGTAGGCGGCTAAGGGGAGGTTCCTTTCTTCCCTGCCTTTCTTGTATCTGCACCTTCAGGTGAAGAGGGTGACCTCCCAGAGAGAGGAAGTGAGTTCTTCAGTCATGTCATGACTGGCTTGTAAAAACAAACGTGATCTTTTCCCCTGGCCATACACTTTCTGTAAATAGCCCAGGAAGAAAGCCCAGGGCTTCAGAGCTGGCCAGAGTGGCCTTCCCATGTTTCCATTCATAAATCCTTGCCTGTAAGTGATCGCAGTCAAAAACCATTTCACTTAATTCATCATACTACTTCGGGGGAATCATTTTGAAGAATGCAAAATTTGAGGATCGAGGTGATTTTTATAACTTTTTCTGATTTGGTGCTGAATCTGAGAGCTAACAGCAATAACAAACAGGGATTTTAATCTTCAGATCTCTTCACAACTTGATTTAATCTGCACAAAGCTATAGTGGGAGACAGGTAGACGTTATCTCCACTTTAAGGTTATACCGTTGGTCCAAGGTGGCAGAATTAGAACGTGGAGACAGTTGTGTGCTCAATTGTGAGTGTTACTAGTTTGCATGGCTATGATGCCTGGCCAAGCACACCGACACTAATTGGATATCTATATATTTTCCCCCTTTAATTGATTACCTTATACTTGTAAAACAGCGAGGTTAGAGATGACTATCCTTGAATTTAGGTTATAAAATTTTAAACAAAATGTTATCAGCTACTTAAGTACTTTCTGTCATCTTGGATTGTTCTTCATCTGCTGAAGTCTGCCACTGCCGACTTCACTCTGAGTTGATTTTCACTTGCTTGTTCCTGTAATCCGTTTAGTGATCATTATCAACCTTCTGCATGTAAGATGCTGGGCAAGGAACCAGCCATATTATTATAGCCATTACCCTTTTATCTGCTGGTGGAACAGAGGTGGGAGCACCAGAAGGGCCCTCTGGCCAGGGATCCAACTCTGACCTTGGCCATAAGCACAATGTCCCAAGCCACTGAGTTTGGTTCTTTTCTCCTATTAGCCTAAGAGCAATGCATAGAATCTTATTTCAATTCACATGCTAATTTACCCACAATCGATTTCATTCCTTTTTTTTTTTTCTGTTTGCTCCTAAGCCTATGTGAATTTTCTTGGTAAAAATAACTAGAAAGTTTAATGCATAATCCAGGTGAAGGGAGAGCAGGCATGTGTACAAAGAGTTGAAAAATTTATCATCACTGCTAATTCATAAAGATCACTTTTGGAAGTTTCATGGCTTTAAACCACTGTGAAGAAAGGTTCATCCAAAGTGCCTAAACCGTGGTATCATTAAGTGGCTGCATTTCACAGATAGCATATTCAAGTTTTTAAAAATGTGAGCTTAAATGCTTATATCTCCAAAGATTAGCTGAGACTACCTAATGTTCTTTAGCCTTTTTCCTCTTTTCAGGTCATCGTGTTGGAACCTATGAAACCTGTTTTAGAAAAAAATTAATCTGGAGAAAGCTACATAGAAAAAATACCAGATGTGAAAAAGATAGGAAGCAGGCATGGGAGAAGGGAGAGCAAGGAGGATTAGCTTCACACAGTTAGAATGGGGCAAGTTGAACTATGGACAGTTTTGCCTGAGTTTTACGTTTTGTCCCTAGAAAAGCATGTGCACTCCCAGGGCATTAGTGCTCAGATAGGGCAGGCGAGGAATTCTGTTCGGCAGCATGACCACATCCTGTAGCTTATGACCTGAGCACAAGTGCCTAGGTATATTTTGAGTAGCAGATGTACTGCTGGTTTACCGTCTTCAATTTGTCTCCATAAAATTAGGGCATAAGGCAAAAAGGCATGAGGGGATAGCATCAGCCAATTGTAAATCACCTTTTTTTTTTTTTTTTTTGCGGTACGCTGGCCTACTCACTGTTGTGGCCTCTCCCGTTGCGGAGTACAGGCTCGGGACGCGCAGGCTCAGCGGCCATGGCTCACGGGCCCAGCTGCTCCCCAGCACGTGGGATCTTCCCGGACCGGGGCACGAACCCGTGTCCCCTGCATCGGCAGGCGGACTCTCAACCACTGCGCCACCAGGGAAGCCCTGTAAATCACCTTTTGATCATTTTCTTGAAGGATTGCCAATATTCTCTGACGTATATCACCTGACAAAAAGCGAACAAGTCTAGACAAACTGAAAAAGGCAGCAATCATTGGTGGAAGCTGTATTCTGTTGTGATAGGCTGCATGTCTTCCTACTGAAGATTTTATTCCTTCAATATTATGAATAATTATTTCTTAATTGTGAAAATGGGTGTCCACTTTTTTTTAAAAATTAATTTATTTATTTTTGGCTGCGTTGGGGTCTTTGTTGCAGCACTCCGGCTACTCTGTTGCGGTGCGCAGGCTTCTCATCGCAGTGGCTTCTCTTGTTGAGGAGCACGGGCTCTAGGCGCGTAGGCTTCCGTAGTTGTGGCTCACGGGCTCAGTAGTTGTGACTCATAGGCTCTAGAGCGCAGGCTCAGTAGTTGTGGCACATGGGCTTAGTTGCTCCGAGGCACCAGACCAGGGCTCGAACCTGTGTCCCCTGCATTGGCAGGCGGATTCTTAACCACTGCACCACCAGGGAAACCCCTGGTCATCTACTCTTCTTGGTCACTATTCCAAAAGCCAACACAAATTTTTGTCGTTAAAAAAAGGACAAATGTATTGAATTTCTGGTTTGCAGATTTCTAACCGGTTCGTGGGCTTCTTTTGTTTCCAAACAGCTTCTTCAGAGCCTGTGAGTGAGTTGCAGAATTAACGTTTACGGATAGGTCAGAGGCCGAGAATGCTCATTTGGTTGTTAATTGTGGCAGGATGTGACTTTTGAAAGCTCTGAACACATACCTAGAGGCAGCAAAATGCTCATTTATTGACTATTTAACTCAGTGGAACACAGCTTTGCGTTTGAGCTTTTGAAAATGTTCTCCGAGGTATTGTGCTTCTAAATGTAACGCACGACCTTTAATACGTTTTGTTCTTGAACAATCTCTGAAAGCTATTCCAACCGTGGCATTTCTTGAATGTGCAGCGTTATTCTCCAGTGTGTAAAAGTGGCTGGCCACCTTTCTCATGCCTTATACTCCACCTAAAATATGCAATAAGCACTCAAGCAGGAGTGGAGGGGTCTTCGGTTGGGTTTTTAACCATGCTGTAGAGATGGCCCTGCCCCTCACAGCTCACCACAACATTGAGAAAGGACCCCGTGTAAATAACCCTTGTTTCCAGATGGAGTACAGGGACACATTAACATCATTTCTCCTTTTAGGTCCATCTCTAGTTAGAAAGCATGATTTGTTTGTAATATGCTGGATGCAAAAATGAAAATTAATAGACAAAATTTTTAGAGAAGAATTCTAATTTTATATTTTAAAAGTTTATAATAGCAATTTATTTGTAAAAACCGGCCTTTGCACATAGATGAGAACCAGCGCTTTTTGGAAAGCCTCATCTTTGTCCTGGGAGTTTAATCACCTGGAGCTCTTATCCAAATGATAAAGACCTACAAGGTCTTGAAAAATGTAAATAGTGTATAGTTTAAAAAAGGATAAAACAATTTTTTTAAAAGAAGAAAACAGGTCAGCTATGTTATAGGTGTGTCACAAGGCTAAATTTAAGTCTTTTTAAAATTCTAGTTAGAAACATCATTAAATTCACTCTCCCAGCAAGGCTTAGTGCAGAAGGTCTACTTTTCTACCAGGTTGGTCTTTTATGGAGGCTATGAGCAAAATTGTTCCAACTAAGCAACTGAGTACCAAGGCAGTAAAGAAATGAGGCCCAGTTGAGTTTGATGAGGGTTCACTCACAGTGGATAACGTGGCCAGTAAAATGTATAGCCCTGGACACTCCACTCCTAGTTTCTCTGGAGCGGAAAGAAGAATAAAGCCTCATGCCATCAATCCACAGACCAGGAAAAGGCTGTGTTTCAGGGCTGGAGGAGGACGCTGTGGCCGCTCTCTTCTCTAAATAAAGCACGTGGTAGCTCTGAACTCTCTTCGTATCAGCCTTCTCCCAGACCATGGCCATCACTCCTGAAGCCTTCACTTTCCAACTCAGCCTTGAAGACAAAAGGTTTCTAAAAAGATTCCATGTGTATTTAGGCCATCTCAAACCATCTGCCTTAGGAGGTTCATCCATTTCTAAACTGAGGATTTAAATACAATGACTGTGCTCAGATTTACAAGAATGTACAACCAGCAGGTCCCCTTTTGCAGTCAAGGGCATTAATTGAAGGGCCATACTCATTTTTTTCCTCAGGTCAGAGGCAGAGGGAGGATTTAACAGTGACCAAATAGAGCCCTCGTTGTGTCAGTCTTTTTTAAGTTCATTTAATGGTGATAATGGAGGAAGAAGGGAGTAAAGGAAAATGCAGGCATGAAAAAAGAAACTAATAGCTTCTAGTTTTTCCACTGCTTGCTAAATGAATTCTTCTTAGGCTACCTTAACTCCAGTCACCACCTAAATCTTAAACAGCTGTGTTTAGCTAGCTGGCGAGGCTTTCTCAGGATGTGTGGACGGGGGCTACAATGTGGTTTCAAATCGTTGGTGTATTCTGCCAGAAAAGGATTATTTAATCATAATCCCCTGTTACCTGATAAATTAAGCAAAATAATCCATAGAAATAACTACCACTCGGTCAGTTCTGTGCATGTAGCTGAACAAAATTGTGACTCTTTTCTGTTGTATCATGATTTGGGTTTTCTGAGACATTTGTTCCCTACGATCTTGAACATGAACATCTGTATAAATAACTGTTCATTTTTTGCTGAAAAACAAATGTATGAAATAAGAATAAATTATTTGTAAGCATCGTGTGTAGGACTGCATTTGTACGCCTCTCTGCATGTCCAGAAGATATCCTTCAGCAAACAGATTATCCCTAAATTAATAGTATGTATGACACACGCATCAGCAGGCAGAAGGGAAGAATGTTAAGTTTGTCCTGAAGAAGCACCCTTAGTATATTTCTTTTACAATTTTAGTTAAAAAGAAAATTCATGGGAATTCCCTGGAGGTCCAGTGGTTAGGACTCTGTGCTTTCACTACCAAGGACCTGGGTTCAATCCCTGGTCGGGGACCTGAAATCCCACAAGCAGC